GACGTGTATTAGCATTATATGCTAATGTTAACACTGTTTCCCCTTAATTTTTAACAACGTGAGCGGCTAATGCTAAGTGGGCTGTTGTTAATAGGTAATGCTAATTTAATGTGAGTTTGCATTATCCAATAATGCTAACACTGTTTTCTCTTACTTTTTAACAATGATAGTAGCTAATGCTAATACTCTCTTCCCTTGGGTTACAAAGATGTGAGGAGATAATGCTAAGTAGGCTGCCATCAGTTGCTTATTATAATTAGGGGTGAATAATTATTAGCTACTAATGCTAATACCCTTTTCTCTTGTGTCATAATGATGTGAGAAGTTAATGCTAATAGGCTGCCATGAGTGACACTTTTTCCTTGCGTTATAATGATGTGAAGAGTTTATGCTTAGTAGACTGCCATTAGCAGCTAATGCTAATACTGTTTTGCCTTGCTTTCGATAACTTGAGCAGCTAATGCTAAATAGGCCACTTTGCTCTGCTAAGGATTTGTGTGACCATGATGTATCCTGACAAACTACATTCACAGCTAAATTCACAGTAAATGTGTGCTTTAAGCTCTATATTGTGTATATTGTGCACTTTGCTATTTATCGTACTGTTTATTTTAATCTTTGTGTACAGCGCTTTGTGACTACCTGTCTATGAAAAGCGTTTAATAAATAAACTTTACTTACTTACTTACTTACTTAAGTACATATTTTTCTGTTATAGGGCTTTGGAGTTGACGTCACGCCGCAATGCATTGTGGGAGCGCAGCTCCATTTTCGGGGTCTACGAATCAAAGTAAACACACTGTGTTGGAACGACGATGACAAGAAACATGCTTAAAAGCAGCTCAAAAGAAAACGGACGGTATAGAGACCGATTGCGTCCAGAGGCGAAGCAGCGGCACTTGAAAAAAATAGAGTGCATCGCAAATCTGGACCCATATGAAATACGGCCGTGGAGTAAAGACCCAGATGACTTACCACCACTGTCCTACCCCGATATCTTCACGTATCTTGTTTGTGGAGTAAGCGCTTACACAGCGAACCAGTTTCGTAATTACAAGTCACTGGAGGCGCACATCCAATTTACAAATGGCTGGGTGCAAGATTTGGCTATTTTCAAGCCGCCAAACTCTGAGTACGTCGTCAAAGTAAGTCAGCTGGAGTGCATCGAGTGAAATAGCCATTTTCCACCCCCCACCATAATTAATGTTATACATTTATCATTGAACTGCTAAAATATCGTTATCATATTATATGCCCATCAAAAAAATGTCCATCACGCCACTCTTGTGTTAATCTATGCACGGTCTGAAGCATGTGTGTGGGAATGTATGTGAATGTTTTACTGTTATATCTTATTAGTATTTTAAGTATTCTATCTATTTTATTTATTGAATTTTATTGTTTTATTTATATTTTGATATTGCTAGGGATGATGCAATGATCGGGGACCATTCTTAATTTCGTTGTTCTCATGACAATGACAATAAAGTTTCTGATTCTGATTCTAATTGTAAAGTACATGCAAATTAACACATTGATAATCGGGCAAATTATTAATGCCAATTTGTGTCATTCCTGTCTCATTTCATTTATTGTCTTTACATCAACCAATCAAGTCACTCCATTCGATGTTTGATTGCAATTTCTATAACTTCCGAGACCACCAACGATGATATTATTCAGCTATAAAGTGTGATGTGAACATATTTAGAACTTACCGGAATGAAAATGTCTTGAGCACACCAACTGATATCTGGAGACGTAACAGAACTTGATATCAGCTCGTCTCACGGCTGCTATCCAGGCTAGACGCCTTCGTTTGGTAATATCCGATACATGAGCTCCTTCATGTTGCTTCCAGGTTGGGAAAGCATAAAAAGACAATCCAAACTTATTCCCGTGCCGGTCGTAAGATCGAACATTGCAGCCGACCACACAGCAAGTACGAACCATGGCTATGCTTTCGCTCCTTACTTAGACCCCCAAAATGGCGGATCGGGCCAAAATCCTTTCCACGCCCACCCCCGTGACATCACGCTCCAAAGCCCTATTCTTGTTAAACAACCGAATGATATAACAGATATAATGATATGACAGAATATTTCTGACTGTCTGAGGCAAAATTGAATCAAATCAAATGGATTATAGAAATCCGTGATGATACCTAACCCTACTGAGTAGCCTAGGCCCAACTCTGACACGGAGCCATCAATCTGTTAACACTGAAAAAGCACAGTGTATCCAGAAAACACATTATATGCTGCAATAAATGCACTGCCCAACTGTCCCCTCTCCCCTCTGCCTTTCAGCAGCACACAGCAGCAAACAGGTCGTCAGAGGAGGCTGATGTGGTGATTAAGTTTAACATTGTCTACAATATTGCCAAAGAGTGGCAAAGCACTTTAATGCAGTGCCACCTGAGGGTATTCAGAGTTGCCACTTACTTGCAGAGATTTCTCCAGTTTCTCTGAGTCTGATGATGATATTATTGATGGTAGATGGTGAAAACCCAAGATTCCAGCAGATAAACTGGAGCAGCCAGGCTCCAGTTTATCTGTAGGGGGTGTGTTTGCTGTCAGTGGGTGTGTGGGCGGAAGTGTAATGCAGATGCTCCACCTCTAGTGACTACTGCGCAGACTCCAAAAGTGCAACGTGGCAGCCCTAAGCGGGAAATTTTGGTTAATTTTTGTACAGTGGGAGGAAGTGCAATGAGATCGTCCATCTTTTCTACAGTCATTGGTTAAATACAAGCCTCGGTTCAGAGCAGCAGGAGGAGGAAGGTGGAGCTGAGGCAGAGTGAGTGTTAACATGAATTTTTTTTCTTATGACATACAATAATTCTGCGCTGTTCCTGTCTGTGGGTGAAGTGTGAGAGCGGTTGGCTCCTCTGAGCGCTGAGTAGAGAGGAAGTGAATTTAGCTGAGCCTCCGTTTAGTGTGAGACAGCAGGAGGAGAGTGAGAGCTGTGCTGAGGCAGGGTGAGTGTTAACACCGCTCTGACATTACTGTGCCTTTCCTAGCAGTCCTTCACAAACAGGGAACAGTCTGTCTATTCTCTCCATCTGTCAGCTGCTGCTGGCTCTTCCTCCTCCTCTTCCTCACACACTGCTGAGTTTGTCCTGATGGATATTCAGGACTGCACACCGAGCAGCATCACTGACTTTCAGCTTGTTGTGGATATATGACTGACTTTAATTATCCATAAAATCATCACAATCTCTGTAAGATTAAAGTCAACTATTGAACGGCGTATATTTTAAAGTAAAGGCTTTAAAACCAAGTTAGTACAAACATCACTAATGTCACATAACTTTGCTGACGTGTAGCCAACAGTAATGTTTTAATGTTCTTCGTTATTAAACATTCACACATAAATAAGTGACACAATATTCAGTACTTACTTTTAAAAGTTTACTCTTCGGCCGCTCCACTTCCACCGTTTTTTTGGGCAAAATTATCCGCACCCACCGCTGCGCTATGAATTGTGGGATATATGGGACCACAAAGCGTGCACCGGACCACGCTTGATGTTTGGGGAAATTGATGGCGCATTTGGAGTACATTTCGAACTGGGACAGCCGTCGTCGCGTGGCGGTCTGGGATATGTTGGGCCACGAAGGATACACACACCCATCCTTAAAATTCAGGGAAATGAAGGATGCGTTTTGAGCAATCTTTGAGTTGGGACAGCCTTCGTCACGTCGCTGTGACGTAATCGGCCTTAAAATGCGGCCTTTAAGGCTGCAGACCCTGAGTTGGGACACAGCCATAGACTCAAGGATAGCTTTTACAACAGGGCAATAGCCCTAATCACTGGACTTTTTTTTTTTTTTGGGGGGGGGGTGACAACAATAACAATATTAATATTTATATTATATAAAAAAAAAATAGGTGCAATAATAATTAATGTGAAATAATAACAGTGTACACATACACCTATTCTTCATCTTTTATTATTAAGTTAAGTTACTGTGCTGTGTTGTGTTGTTGTTGTGATTTGTCGTATCGTGTCGTGTTGTGTTGTATGTAGTGCCGACGTGGGACAGTTTTCCAATTTCATTGTACCATTGTACTATGTATGACTGTGCAATGACAATAAAGAGTTATTTTATCTTATCTTATTAGGGGGTCCATTGTCCCTCTTTGGGGGGATACTCCCACTGGGTTTAAAACTGGGACTCTCCAACACTTGCCCCTAGAACTGAAGAAGCTTCTCAGATGAGAGGTGAAACGTCTCATGTGATCAGACTATATGCTCTGAGTATTTCACAGGCTTGTCTAAATGTTCAGCAACCTGTAGACGCTCTTCAACATGCTTTTTCTTCCGTGATGGATTCTTGGAGGTGAACTTGTATACAGATGACTGTGTGCATTACCTACTGTTTTCTTTGAGACAATATGTGCTGATTCCTGGTCTTTCCACAGATGTTTCAACAGTGATTACTTGAAAATTCAGTAGTTCAGAAACTCCTCCGTAACCAAAGCCATCAGTATGTTTTAAACAATGAGGTGGTGAAGGTCTCTAGAGCGCTTGTTGGTTTTGTCCATCATGAGGTGTTTCTTGTGTGTCACTGTGGTAATGACACGCCTTCTTATATCCATTAGCTGGGACTGAACCAGCTTATGAACAAGCTTATGATCTTGTACCGTAAGCCTACAGACGGTGTGTCAGGGTCTCAGGTATTCAATGAAACCTACACAGAGTTTACCAATGAGAAGAGTCCTGTTTGACCCGGGCTGCTCACAAGCAGCAGTTTAGTTTAATGAGCTCACTTCCTACACTCAAAAAAATCAACTAGGGCATGTGTTTGATTAACAAAGTAGTAATATGTTTACATCACATGAAGAAATCATTTTTATGCTCATTAAATGATTCATTCTTTTTTGTTGAATATAAATCAAAGAAAACTTTGATGAGTTAAATTCGTTCATGGCAATCCAATGAGAATGAGGTCCATCAAACCAACAGCTCTGATAGCGTCATGTATTGCGCATGCTCCACGCCCACCGGATGCGGAAAGGTCCGTTGAGAAGTTAACGAGCGCACGTGGAGTTACTTCTTTGGCATACCTGATAGTGAGGTAAGTAATATTTCTTGATATATTTATTTAGGTTAGTGGAGTGAGAGATAAATACTATTAGTTAAAAAATTTTACCTGTGTAGTGTGGAGATTTATATATAGCAGGGAGGTTGTAGACCCAAACATTTTTCAAATGTAAGTCGGTGAATTTAATGTTTTTTTAAAAAACTTAACCGGAGTCGCTAATTGTTGCAACAGAGCAAAAACTGATGAGGTTATTTTGGTAAGTTCGTTTTTTTTGTTTTTGTTTCTGTCGACTTTGAATGAGGTGTGTTTCATGGTTATCTGCGTTGGTAGGACTGTTTTTCTTCTCTGGAGTTAGCTAACTTTGAAGAGCGGGAAAGCCGCGCAGAGCCGTAACGTCTTCGCATATAGCTCCGTGAATGACAGGTTACTTTCTGCTTAACCGGAGTTGGTGATTGTTGGTAGTAGTGGTAAGACTGACCGACATGGTTTTGGTGATTTTATGAGTGTTTTATGATGCTCTATCTAAAATTCCTGTTTTTGTCAGTGGAGTTTAGTCGCGGGCAACCGCATTAACTGGATTGATGAAAGGTTTAACTCCCCTAAACCAGCGTTTAGGGGAGTTAATAACAAGGAGTAAGATAAAATCTGTCACAATAATTGCATGTGCATTTTCTTTTTTTGTAATATATTCACTTAATTTTTGAATTCAGAATGATTTAGGTGGATAATTGTTTGGGTTATAGTTTCTCTGGTGCTCTGCATTAGGCTGACTAACGGTGCGTTCACACCGAACGCGATAGATGCCCCTAGCTGATCTCGTGCACATTTGCACCTCGAAGCGCGTCCAGCATGAACTGGTCGAGGTTTATATGCAATTTTCACGCGTATGAAGAAGAGATCTGGGAGGAAGTAGTGCCAGACGGTATGTTATTAAAATGGCAGCTGTCAATCTAGCGTTTGAAGAAAGAGTCTCCCTTCTCTATTTGCTGTGGAGAGCAGAGCAGTGCCTAAAGGATGTCCTCACTGTACCTGGGTCCATCAGGTCTTCCACAAGCGTGAGCAGTTTGGTGAGTTTCACCACTTGCTCCAGAAGCTCCGTCTGGATGACGGCCGCTTTCAGCTGTACCACCTTCTGTCCCTTGCCGAGTTTGAGAAGCTGCTGTCCCGCAGATTTTACCAACTCGAGCGGTAGACGTGATAAGCGCGAATGCACAAAATGTACCACACAAACTGCAGTGCGTATTTTACTTCGCGCTTCAAAGGCGTCAGTCGTGTGAAGTAGGCAGAAAAGCGTTTTCTCAATGCAACTCTGCTTCTGAGGTTTAGCTGGACCCCCAGTCGCGCTTCATCGTGCTCCTCCATTGACTTTACATGTAAACCTGAAGCTCTGGTCGCATCTATCGCGTTCGGTGTGTACGCACCGTAACAGTCTTCACATTTCACAGTATGTAGATATTAACACAAATTTGTCAGAGTAATAACTTTGTTTTAATTAATTTCTCTCCCCAGAAATACATCACAAAATAAAGCCACATTCCCATGCTCTGAGATTCTTATGCACCTCCTCAACAATACATGGTAAGTTCATGTTTGCCTTATTATTATTATGTTATTTATTTATTTTTTTTGGATGATGCAGAAGTTTAATCTCCTTGACGTTTTCTAATGCATATTTCATTTTTTATCAGTGACGTGTATGTGGCAGTGCAAGCATTGTGTTACCAGAGAGAGCAGCAGGTACAAATTACTTCAACATTATAAACTACATCATCATTACGGAATAGGTCAACATTATCTGTGCATATATGTTAATTGTCCGTGCACATTTAAGACTTGGAGTGGACTGAACACTCATGTCTATAAAGCTCATTCATCTCAGTTTACACAGACAGCTTCAAGTTCAGTAACTTTTAAATGTGAGTTATGTGACTGCAGTGACGTCTTCTCTGAGAGAGATTTTTTTGTCCATATTGGAACACATCTGCGAAGTAACGAGACAGTTAGTTGTGTGTTTCTTGGTTGCCCTTTCAAGACAAACATTTACAATACATTTTATACACACAAAAAGAGGAAGCATCATCCACACACACTTAAAGATTTTAAAGCCAGTGTAGTTACACGTGTGGACCCAGTTCAAGTGATAGAGTCCTCTGATAATGTAAGGGCTAGCTGTTCTGAAGATGTATCCTATGGTGAATTTGAAAGTGAGTCAGTGACAGAATGTGATAATAGTGCTGTTGAAAATCAGCCCGAACTAACTGAACGGAAATTAGCAGTAATATTGTTGAAATTGGAACACATATTTCATGTTCCAGCAAAAGGATTAGATGAGTTCTTAGAGGAGTTAGTTTTTCTGTTGAGTTCAGCTAGTGTACCTCTGACAAAACGTACAATTACAGAAATTTTTAAGAGCCATAACCTCCATATTAGTCAGGCTGTTATTGAAGAGCTTGCAAATTCTGTATGTGTTTCTAACCCTGTGGCTAAAATATTGGGAAAGTGTGGCCCTCTTGCCACTCCTTATAAAAGAAAACTATACTACATACAAAATTTTAGGGTTGTAGAGCCTGTTGAGTATTTTTTATCGATAGACCAAAGGAAGTCATTTCAGTACATCCCTTTATTACAGTTATTGCAGGAAATATTGAGTCACAATAAATTGCTGGATAGAGTGATTGAAGAACAAATAGCTCAAGAAAATAGAGAGAATCTGAATGGTGATCAGAGGGTTTACAGATCTTTTCGAGATGGGGAGCATTATAAAAGAAATAGCTTTCTAGATGGTGAGAAGTTGAGAATTTCTATTAACCTTTATATTGATGATTTTGAGGTTTGTAATCCTCTTGGGACCTCACGGAAAAAGCACAAGCTTTGTGGTGTATATTGGGTCTTGGGCAATTTACCACCTGGTTCTCATTCAGCCCTTTCATCCATTTATTTGGCAATCCTTTGCAAGAGTGAAGATTTGAGGACATTTGGGTTTGAAAAAGTCTTTGATCCACTTTTGAGAGATCTGGTAACTTTGGAGCAACATGGTGTGTTCATCAGTCAGTTGAACGAGTGTATTAAAGGAACTGTGAGCTGCGTCATAGCTGACAACCTAGGAGCCCATGGGCTGGCAGGTTTTGTGGAAAGTTTTTCTGCTGAATACATATGCAGATTCTGTACAGCTAAAAAATCTGAAATAAAGTCAGTGACTGCTGGTGATTTTGAGCATAGAACACCGGAACTTCATGAATTCCATTTGAAGCGTGCACAAGAAACAGCAAGTGCTTGTTGTGGAGTTAAGCGAGATTGTATTTTGAGTAAGAATCTGAGCCATTTTCATGTCACTGCAGGCTACCCTCCAGATGTAGCACATGATCTGCTAGAGGGCATAATACCAGTGGAGCTTGCGCATTGTTTTTCTTTTTTAATCTCTAAAAAGTATTTCACCTTAGAAAAACTTAACAACTTGATCCAAAATTTTGAGTATAAATGGGCAGATAAAACCAACCGGCCTCATGCAATTCCCCAGACTTTCTCATTAAAAAAAAATATTGGTGGAAATGCACATGAAAATTGGTCTCTGCTTCGTTTGTTGCCTCTAATTATTGGTCCACTTGTTCCAGAGGATGAACCTGCATGGCATATTGTTTTGGATCTGAAGGACATTGTGGAGCTTGTTGTAGCCCCTGTCCAGTCTGATGAGTCGATTTCCTACCTTGAGTGTAAAATCAGTGAACATCGCCAGAGATACCAAGAACTTTTTCCAAACAACAGTCTTCTCCCTAAACATCATTATTTGGAGCACTACCCTGCTCTGATTCGGCATTTTGGGCCTCTTGTCCACAAATGGACAATGAGATTTGAGGCGAAACATAGTTTTTTTAAACAAATTGCTCGCCATACAAACTGTTTTAAGAACATACCTGTTACACTTGCCAAAAAACATCAGCTCGTGATTGCCTCTGACTTGCACTCTTCTGACCATAAGACACCTTTAATGGTAAATGTTGGCTCATCAGTACCAATTGATGTTCTGAAAAGTGATATCGCAGTAGCTATAAAGCAAAGATTACCAGATGAAACTGATGTCCATATTACAAAAAGCGTGTCATACAATGGCATGAACTACAGCACAGGAATGATAGTTGTTCATGGGCAAATATTTGGTTTGCCAGAGTTTGCAGAAATTCTGCAGATTTTTATTTTGCATGGCAGAATATACTTTTTTGTAAAAAAGTTCTCTGCTTGGTATCGAGAGCACTTCAGAGCTTTTGAGCTTGACATGTCACATGCGAGAGAGGTGTCTCTGATTGAGCATGGGGAATTACTCGATGACTACCCGTTAGCTGCCTATTCAGTGGGAGGCCTGCGTCTGGTTACTCTGAAGAGACACACTAACTTGCAGGGTAAACAGGAGTGATGTTTGTAAGTATTTTCCCCCTATATCACCTGGCACAGTAAATAATACATCATACTTTGCAGACCAATTGCTACTTAATTTATTGAGAGTAGATTTCTTTTAAGCATCTTATGCAAGAATTGTCATTAATTAGAAGAATGCAAGACAAATCTGGAAAATGCACTATTCACTTCTCCAGTAAAAAAATTCCTCGAGGCCAAGGTGACATCATCAAATTATCGTTGACATTAGAATTTGTTACACACACTCGCACAATAGTCAATGAGTACATCTTTATTTATTTTTTAAATATTTGATATTTGTCCAGGTCAGCATGATGCCCCAGCCCATAAGACTGAGGATCATTCTCGGAGAAGATGATGCCAGGAAACTAATTTTACCAGCTGGGATATCAGACTCCATTGAGGAATTGTGTCAGGAAATAAAGACAAATTTTGGAGTGCAACAGGATTTTCGTCTTCAATATCAAGATCCTGATTTCGGAAATGATTTTGTAAATCTGACTGCGATCTCTGAAATTAATGATAAAGCAACTTTAAAGGTTGTATACTTGGATAGTGTGCAGTTGCAAAGTTTTACAGAAGATGGAGTGACATGTCAACCAGTGCGAAGTCCAACACATTCCTTTTCAAGCTCTTCAGACACAGACAATACAAGGCCCGTTTCATCGTCAGGTTCATCACCGTCTACAAGACTGTCAGTGTGGCCAAGTGTCTTCACAGTCCCTCGTTTCAGCTATGAGGCTGAACTGCAACTTGAAAAGGCCAATGCTGAGTTCATTGCTGGTGGAACTCATTTGACCCCCTCACCAAAACTGAAATCCCACCTTTTAGAAAGGCTGGCTGAAGAAATAATAAAATTTAAAGTCTATCCAACTGACAATGACCTGAATGAAGTTGCAGAAGCCCTTGTCAAACAGCATCCTTGTCTGAGGGAGCAGGGATCCTTTAATGGCTGTTATGGTTGGAAAATTAGCCTCAAGTATAAAATGGCCAATGTCCGGACCAAACTAAGAGGCCTGGGCTGTGCTGAGGTGTTGGTAAATTCACTAAAGAACAAGGCCCAAGACAAAAGTAAGGCAGCATTGAATGTGAAAAAGCCTAGAAGAGCAGAAGTCAATTACTGTCCGCAGTATCCAAAAGGAGAAACCACTGACAGCCTGGAAAAAGAGAAAATTGCACTGCTTTCAGAGGTTCAGAAGAGAAACAATGACAATATAGTGACAATGAAAATGCAGAAGACTTTTTCGTACAGAAGGCAAGAAGTTATTCAAGGACAGCCCTTTATTGCAGATTTTAAAAGCAGATGGCCAGCTCTGTTCACCGAGAAAGAGGTGCATGTCCTATATGTCTAACTTTTAGAGTGTGTTTATGGTTGACCAGTTATTTCTTGCTTCACTAATATTGACATAACATAGTGATAAAACAGCTAATAATTCCTGGTATGTCCTTCCTCTGGTGCATATTATAAGTGCATTGTTCATGTTTTTCAGATTGACAAGGAATTCCTGCGCATATCGACAGTACCGCTGCTATCTAGATTCTTTTATGAGCTAGACTTGTACACTCCACGCATGATGGAGCTCTTTCGAGGCAAAGGTGGGGTGGCTGGCAGAAAAATGAGACACATCATGGTGGCCATCTCCAAGGTGGGTTAGATCTGTGCTTAAGAACTTTTTATGCCCATAATCTGGCAATTTTATGAGCAAAGATATCTATACATATGGTAGGCAAAAGTCCTAAGAGGTTTTCATATTTTATACAAATTATATAAGCATCAGTCTTATATTAATAAGTAATTGATAACATTGTATGGTTAATTTTGATCAAAATGAAAAAAAACAACAAAAAAAAAACATTAGTGTTGCCTCATTTTGTGTCTGATTTGGTTGAGACAGATGTTTCGAGGTGGCTGTAGCTCAGGTGGTAGAGCAGGTCAGCTACTAATCAGAAGCTTGGCGGGTTGGTCCCAAGCTCCTCCAGTGTGCATGCCAAATATCCTTGGGTAAGATACTAACCCCAAGTTGCTCACCGATGCATTCATCGGAGTGTGAATGTGTATGAATGTTAGACAGTAAGCACTAAACCCGGTGGCGCCAGTGTTCGACAGCCTCGACCTCTGTCAGTGCGCCCCAGGGTGGCTGTGGCTACAATGTAGCTTACCATCACCAGTGTGTGAATGTGTGTGTGAATGGGTGGATGACTGGATGTGTAAAGCGCTTTGGGGTCCTTAGGGACCAGTAAAGCGCTATATAAATACAGGCCATTTAAACAGTTTAGAAAAAGTGATTGGGTGAATGAATTGTTGTATAAAGGCAGCTTTGAGTGCTCTGAGTAGAAAAACGCTATATAAGAACCAGTCTATTTACCATGTGGCCTTTTGGACTCTTCCAAACTAAGTATTCCTTTTTCAAACTGCTGCCTAAAAGTTAAATATTGTCATTATGGATTCCCTTTTTTCTTAGGATGACACAATACATACAAGACGAGCATGCATCCTGAAGTCCTTGTGTGTCTACCTGAATGAAGACCATGAGAAACTTGTGAAGGAATATACGGTCAGTTATATTCACAAGTTGTTCTGTGTTATGTAATTTGCTCCAGGAGTTATGGGTAATTTCGATATATGAAATGGTAAAATGTGACACCACGTGTGAATAAAAGATATTGCAATTGGTCCTTGTTTTGTTTCATGTCAAATTTCTGAGGTGTGAAACCAGAGACATAGAATTTAGTAAATATATCAGCATATTCACGCTGATTGCTGAATTCCTTTTTTTTTTTTTTTCATATGTAGACTCAAACAAATGTATTATTATATATTACGTCACAGAACACTGAGGCCAACACTGAAGCCATGGAACAAACTGTGATGGGAGTGTATGTCATACATCAGGAGGGTGCGGAGCCTGGAGATGACCCAGAGAACATCGGTGTCCTGATTGAAGGCGTGGAGGTTCTCACTGGTTTGAGGAGCATTGCAATTGCTTGTGCTCTGTTATTTGGACTGATATACTGTCTGAACCTAAGCTACCCACCGGAGCTCAAATGCACTTTTGAAGTCTTGCAAAAGATTATCATGAAGCTGGATGGACAGAGGTTGTCATCCAAGGCACAGTTCCTAAAAAACAAGCTAATGGGGTGAATGAGCTTGAAACGGACTCATGCAAGCCAGATATTTTTTTTTTCAAGGTTTCTGCAATGCAAATATGTGTTTACTGTTTTAAAGTTTAAAATTGTAAGTTATAAAATGTTCATATAAACTATGTGGTTTGCTCTGTGGCTATTACACAAAGATTGTTCGTCCATAACTTAAAGTCTTATACACTTGAAGTGTAAACACTGATTTTTGCCAGATGGCAATTGTTACAAAGGCAAATGCACACTGGTTTTCACAAATTGTTTGAGTGGAGCAGTTATGCTCAAAATTGAATGTTTTCTCCACACGTTAAATAGCATAAAGTCACTATTAATGGATACAGCCTGATTAAATGGAGGACTAAAGTATGCAAGCAACATAGTAATGTTGTAATATTATAGTAATGTTGAATGTTATGTCTGAGCTTTAAATTGTGTTAAAATTCATATTGTTGTTTGCAATGCATATTTTACTACATTTTACGAAAGTTGCTTTGGGGATAATATTTTTTGTCTGCAAACTATTCAACAGACTTATTTCATTTTTATTATTAGGGTTAGGGTTATTTTATTGTATTTTTTCTTTCAGTCAGCATGTCTTGATCTGGAAGTTCTGTGGTCTTGGTATGAGATCGTTAAAGGGGAGAAAGCTAGGCTGAACTGGGATCCTGCCAACTGTTTTAAGAATGTTCAAGCAAAATAAAAGATGGTTTTGCAAGTTATCATTTATGTATGTTTCATTAATTTAATTAAAAGTAATGTTTACATAAGCAATACAAACACTAACTGAAACATGATTGGTGTAAGTACTACAGACATAAATTACATTTGTTCATTCAACAAGATTAACATTGGTGTAACAAACAAATATTTTACTAGTTCATGTAACAAGACTGACTTTTGATGTGCCAAAGTGTTTAAACAATATAACATGAATTTAAATTAATTTAATTAGACTAACTTGGTACAAACATGTTAACTGAATAAAAATCAAATTAACTGAATGTTAATGTATAAATTATGTTACACTTACAAACATATTTAGTGTTGAAACAACACAATCAAGATGGATTGATTTAACATGATTTGTTTAGATGGAATATAGGTGGCAAGATGAAATTAAGTTCATCCAATGAATTATTTTTTTGAGTGTACACTGATCCCCAGCTTCAAAGGAGCCATGTGGGCTCCTCACCAGTATGATGATCCCAAACACACTGAGTTCCTTCATCAACCTGATCATGTACTTATTAAATAATGTGATGGTTTTGGTGTTTTTCTAAAGACTTTGAGCCTCTAAAATAACTGGTTTGGACTTTAGGGCCAAAGCTCCAACATTAGACACCCGTCAGTGTGATGCTTCCAGTACAACAGCACCTCTGAGTGTCTGTGTTTACCTCTCAGACTAACTCCAAGAAGATGGAGGAAGAGGACAGAGCAGCATCTGCAGCATCCAGCTGTATGTCTGTGAGGAGTGACGGGGTTACACAAACACCTCCACATTACCGTCGTGGACCTGCAGCAATAATGTAAGAACACTACTAACTTTATTAGTCATTTAAACATAACCATGAGAGAATCATTGATCTGTGATTGGTTAAAACTGTTTGATTTTAGGCTCAGCTTGATGCCCGGCATCAAGCTGGCACTTCTGACTGACCGGTGTTATGGCAGAGTGTATGTCAACCAGATGTGGGCCAGGTCTGGCAATGATGCACTGTTTATGTTCCTATTTTCTAGTTAGAAGACGCAAATGCCATGTTGCAGTACTATGCTGCTATGTTAACCAACGTTTCAAATGCAGGTTTGACAGGTTTGTGACTTTGCACTTTATCCAAAACCTACTAACGGTTTACTCATGCTTACCACTGGGTGGCTGTACCTCAGGAGGTAGAGCAGGTCACTTACTGATCGGAATGTTTAGTGGTTCGATCCCTGGCTCCTCCAGTCTGCATGTCAAGAGTGTGAATGTAGTTAGGAAGCACTCAGTTAAGAGAAAGTGTGTGATTGGGCAAATGTGGCATGTTGTAAAGAGCACTTTGAGTAATCCATTAGAGTAGAAAAGCACTATATAAGAATCAGTCCATTCACTGTCTGAACAGAGTTTCATCATGTTACTTTTGCACTATTATGTTCTGGCACTTATTGTTATTACATGGCTTGATTAAGGTACACATTAGGCTGACATTAGGTTTGTCTGAGGTATTCCACACATGGGCCAGCACTTGACCACCAGTGTGTCTGCAACTGGCCTTGTGCTGGCCAATGTGTGGAATACCTCAGCCAAACCAGATCTGGGCCGCCAAAGGGCCTTCATTCTTTCGGTATGTGGGCCATGTATAAGTACATTGTGTGGGCCAGATTCAATTTTGCTATGTGGGAAGCTTAAGTGAAGTCAATGCAGCAGAATAAGAGAGAAGAGCTGAGAAGAAACTGAGTTCATTCACATCAGACAGATAAAGGACCAACAGATGTTAAACTGGCTGATTATTGGCTGACCTGTCAGCGTTATGAGGCAGCCACAATATCACAGAGTGATCAGCTGATCATATGGCTGTCAGATAGAACAGATCAGTAATTGATGTTTGTGTTTGCAGAGGTAAAAGGTCACAGTCTCCAGTATCCAGCTGTGTGTCTGTGAGGAGTGACTGGTCCAAAGAAATACTTCCTCCAGTCTTCAGTAATGAAGCTGCACCAACAATGTAAGGAAACTATTATTCTGACTGTGTTGAAATCCTTCCTGTAATCCAAGAGAATCGAGTCTGCTGGCTTCATGATCATGTCAGCATGTGTGGCAGAGAAGGACCCAAATTCAAGGCTCAGGAAACATGATGGAAAAAGCTCATACATAGCTTTATTACTGAACGTGCAAAAATAAGAAAACACCAGCCAGGACCAAACCATCAGAAAGAAAGTATCACGAGGAGGAACAGTCTATTAACAGTGACAGTCTATAGTCCCTAGGTTGTTATGTTTAGCTTTTTGGTTATTAGATTTCCCCTTGTGTCTTCACCTCTGTGTATCTGTCCTTTCTCTGCCTGCACACAGCCGCTCCATGACACAGACAGATGAGGGAACGGTTGGGAACAGAGCTGAAACTAATGAGTCAGGGGAAGCATAACTGAACACAGTGCACACAGGAAGAGAGAATGTCAAAATAACACAGGAAATGACTGACACTGAGAGCCAGACTGAGACTTGTAAACTTGACAGACAGACAGAAGACAGGAACAGGAATCCAACCTATCAGCTAAGCAAACAGGGAGCTAACAACACAGAATCACCACAGGGATGTAAATAAAACACTATAACAAGAAGACGACATGATGCAGACATGATGATCCAACAACATACATACAAAACCCAAACATGCCCAAACTCAGAACCATCAGCACCTGATTTGACCTTGAGGAAGAGGTCAGAGGTCAGAGTAAGGTGGTAATTAGAATCCCTGTATATCCGTACAGGTCTGTATGTTGGCAGTAAGGAACAGAGTTTTAAACAGCTCTATAGTATTATTATCAGGTTGACCTCCAGATCAATCTGTGACCTCTTGATCTCTTCTTCCCTCTCCGTGTTCACACACCTCTCTGTGTTTAATCATTAGTTATTATTCATCTCTGCCTCTCTTCCACAGCATGTCTTTATTCTTTATCCTGTCCTTCTCCTCTCACATGCCCCCCGAGCCTGGTTCTGCCGGAGGTTTCTTCCTGTTAAAAGGGAGTTTTTCCTTCCCACTGTCACCAAAATGCTTGCTCACAGGGGGTCATATGATTGCTGGGTTTTTCTCTGTATCTATTATTGTAGGGTCTGCCTATAAAGCGCCTTCAGGGAACTGTTGTTGTGACTTAATGCTGTATAAATGAAACTGAATTGAATTGAAATTGAAGGAGAGGTCAGAGGTCAAATATGAGATGACATTTTAAATGTGTAAATAGTGTTTTCTGTACTAACATGTGCAGACAGAATGACACAAAATCATATGCTCCTTGTTTTCCTGCAAACGGCTCTGCAGCTGTTTGTAATCTAATCTGAGATTACTGTCACTGGCAGAAACCATCACATTATCTAGTTTGTTCTGTGTAGTTTTAGAGTTACCTGAAAAATTGTAACCAGTGATTAATCAGTAATTTATGTGGATAGATTGATATATGAATGTCATGTGTTTGTGTTTGTAGAGGCCAGAGGTCACAGTCTCCAGTATCCAGCTGTGTGTCTTTGAGGAGTGACTGGTCCAAAGAAAGACCTCCATATTTCAATAATGGACCTCAGCTGACCATGTAAGAGATCTGCAAACTGTGATGTGTTCTACCAGTGACATCATACTTTTTTCCTAACAGTGGTCCGTGTACGATAATGGTAGTTTTTAATAAATTGTGTGTTTGAAGGTTTGAATGTACACATTTGTAAAAATGCCTGTGGATCATGTACATGTCTGTAATACTGCATGCACCTCACAGCTGTGAAATGAAGAAACATCTTTGACTTTCACAGGCTCTCTGTAACAGTTTGAACAGATCACATTTGTTAAACACCCGGTGAAGACTCAAACACAGACTCGCAGGCAAAAAGCAAATCTTTATTTAGGCCTGTTTCATAATCTAGAGTTTAAAAGTCAAGAAGATGATAAAGAAACCAAAATCTACAGACTTCATAGACACACAGGGATTAAAACACACTGAGACAAGAGGCCAATTGCCGCAAGCAGGTTCAGCTCTAGTTAGTTAATGCTGTGTTAAGTGCATGCATGACTAGAAAAAACGAGTCATCATCAATGGAGCTCCGATGCCCAGACGCACCATGGCATTGGGTTAATAAAGAGCAGAGGCTCCATTTTAATCTTGAGGAACAGAAATATGAACGCGTGTCACTGCTGACCATGATATTTACCATAAAAACAGGAGGAAAGTGAAGAGTCATTTAATCAATCTGAGCCACGCTGATATCACCTGGATAGCATAGTGGGAAAACTAG